CATCTCACTCCCTATTGGTTGCCGGGAAGACTCTGAGTTTGCCTTGGCTTCCCCTCCCTACCAGGGACAGAGTGCCTTTCCCTGAGCTGCCAGCAGACAGAGCCCCAGGAATCTAGGTAATCTCCTTGGGGGTTACATAAGTGTAGTAAGATGAGGCATAAACCCTTGTATCAGAGGCCTGAGGCCTGAACGAAAGTAATGGTCAAGACTTTGCTAATGTAAAGCAAAGTTAAGCTGTGAGCCAGAGGCAGGCCCTGCTCACAGAAGTTGGCAATAGGAAGGCTGCTAATTGCACGTATACACATATCTAAAAGGTATCAAGTACTAGTAGGATGAACATGTGCTAGGATGGCACCAGAACATTCTGGTACGAACACATTCCACAGAGATAATGAGGAACAGGCTGACCCATCCTAAAGACAGGGTCCAAAGGACAATATGATGGATAGAGTTGTTTGTTCGAACCAACATGTACCAGGAGAGAGGCAGCACCCCAACACGCAGAGGGGTTGTACCTCTATGCATCAGGAGTGATGTATAACTTGTTTGTACCTGTGTATAAGAATGCATCCCTGAGTGGATATCTTTGTCTGGCATAGGGGGCAGTGGAGAGTCCCGCCACTGACTGAGCCGGTCCATTGTCGGGGGCACATATTCGTAGTATGTCCTGTAGAGTCTGCGGGAAACTATTACTGTGCTTCATTTGACAATAAACCTGGCTGGGTGCCTTCGTACCTTATCAGAGTTTGTGGTCATTGGGGGTTCTCTCAGGTCTGCTGTGTCAGCTATCTGCGCAGAGCCAGGAAAGCACACAGAGGGAACACACACACGCAGCCGACTGTTATCAACATTGAACAGAGCAGAGCACCACACCGGTGACATCTGACAACATTGGTGACCCCGACCGCTGATCTGGTGAGTAAGCGAGTTGTCCGCTGTGGGAATCGTGATCTAACCACAAGCTAGGGAGCCCCCTTAATCCCTCCCTGCAAATCCCCACAGAGTTTAAAAAATATAATGGGGAAGAAACATGTCATGTAAGTTGTAAGGCCAGGGCAGAGACTGTAGCCTCAAAATATAAAATATTGCAAACTATAACCATGGCTGTTAAATGGTTAAAGCAGCACGCCACAAAATTGGTGGGGCAAGTAAAAGTAACAAAGAAAGAGTTACAAGAATCAAAAGAAGCAACAAAGCCCTGGAATGCTCCCACCTCCCTTGCAGGGAGGCAAGCAGCCCAGAGACAACCAGCACAGGACCAGAATAAAACATTGGAAATAGCTGCAAGGAACCTACAAAAAATACATGTGCCGTCCCCTGTTATAAATATTGATGGTAAACAGCAGGCTTCAGATAGCTACCCTGTGCCTGAAGAATGGGGAAAGAAGTGGAAAAAGGTGGCCCTAGTAAAATTAAAAGATGAAACAGGGTCCACTGCAGTACAACCACTATCTTATGATAAAAGCCAGGGTCTGGTAAAACATAAACCGGGACCTAGACTCGTGCACAAATGGAAAAAGTAGCACACAATACTTTCACTGAATTGGTAAATCAAATGAAGGAAAAAATGGAACAGTTCACAGAGCACATTACAAGACAGGAGCTGCGACTCACTCGCAGGGGAGTGAATAAAAAGGAATTTCAAAGTCAAAAACTAAAATTGAGCAGGTTAACACCTAAAATTATGCATTAACATATGGAGTTGCCCAACAACAGTTAACTGCAGGAAAAAAAGGGCATTCCTTCAATCTGTTTGGCATGCAGACAAAATTAACAGCCACTGGGGGAACAAATTCAGGTTTTACAAGAGCAGATAATTACCCTCACTCTCATCTCAGAGCCAGGATAAAAAGCCAAAGTGCAGTTTCCCAACTGCTTTCACACACGGCACCACACTCCACACTCAGCTAAAAATATAACCTCCTTTCTCAAATATTTTTACATATCAGTATGTTTTCTTTTATATCCTTTATCAGTTTGCTACACTTGCTGCTGCTGCCTGTACCTTAAGAGTTAATCTCTGTTGGCTCAAGTCTCACTACCTTCCTAGGTAGCTCTTCACCCTCCCACCCCCTCTTTTCCCTGCCTCTCCTTACTTCGACTCTTTGTGTTAAAAGTTATAGTTTTTACAGAAACCTCGAAAAGAAAAAGCAACTTACAACAGAAGAAAACAGGAAATACAAAGAAAACAAGATAAAAACTTTACTTTAAATAAATCCAGTAAATTAATTATTTTAACCCTTCAGGAATGCAACAGCTGGAATTATTCCTAACTTTCTTGAAGATATGGTTGCCAAGCAACAGAAATGGACATTGCTTCTAATCCTAGCCACTCACTAATATTTGAAACATGGGCTTTTCTTATTTCCATATGGCAGAGTTTTAAAATAATGTTAAATATAAAGTAAT